ATGAAAGAGAAGAAAAGGAAACCATCTCCTCAATCCTCAAGATGATAGCCTAGCCCAGCAGTTAAAACACGGTGCCCATGGTTCATCTATCTGAGAGATGAGCAGTAGATTATACTGCCCGGTCCTTTACCCTTTTATAGCCTTGCACTGGCACTGGCAAAGACAGTGATACCTATTGCAAAGTCACAGAAACAGGTTGGGAGAGCTATCCCAGGATACTGTTTCTGCTCCCTTTACCTATGTGTCTTTTTTTTTTTTTTAATGTCACTTAGTGATCAAACATGCAAGGACGCGCCAGATGCAAATGGGTGTGAGGCAGTGCCACTTCACTGTTTTTCACGATCAGTGTAAGTGTTAACGCAAATGCTTCTCATCACGACTTGTAAGTACATGTCTGCTTGACATGTAACATACAGTTCAGTGGAAGACCTCTTAGGAGAATTCCGACATTTCCAACTGTCATTCCCAATAGTCTGCCAATAAGGTAAAGCTTGGAAGGGGAAGTTCAAAATGGTAGGAACCACAAGTATTATGTTAGTACTGCTTATGTAGGGCTTTCTTTTTTAACTCTGAAAGGTCTAGCAGATCTCGGTTGAAAGGATATGCTTGTCAAAGGATCTCTTGCCAGAAGGAAGGTAATTCTATCAATAGACACCATAAAAACACATCTCAAATTTTTATTTATCCTTTTAAGTTCTGAAAGCACGTTAAGGAAGAATAACATTCCACGTTGGTTACAAAGTGCTAATTAATAACTAACTTCAGTTCTCCCAGAGGTAAAATATTCACATTGTTTTTTAATGAAATTAAGCATCACAATCTTCATCTTCTAATTGTTATAAAAACATTTAGCAACAATATCTGTTTAATTATTTAGGCATCTCTTAATGGTGTAAATATTATCAGCGCAGTCATAAATATTTTCTGCTTTGTCCATAGACAATCAGTTAAGGATCTGTTGCTTGTAGGACTTAAATTAAGATCTATTTAAAGCTGCCTGCTGGCCACAAAATAATTACTTACACTTGCTAATGCTTGAATCTGTTAGATTTAGCTTCAAGAGGAGTTCTTTGCTTTCACAAGTAGGAGAAAGTTATTTTTCTTATAGAAATTTCATTGTTAATGGTATTAGGGAGGATTAGGGTGGGGTTGAAGTTGTTGAAAATTTAATTAATCTAATCCTTTTAACAGTAATTGTTTTCATATTGATGATTCTCTGTAACAACAGTATTACAGATCACACCCATATGAAATATTTACACGAAATATTTTAGCATGTAATCTCTCCTCCAGCTTTCTCTTTCCAGAACAGTAAGGTTTTCAGCTCAATCTTCAGCTTTCTCTTTTTTTCTTAATCTCTTACTACAAATGCAGGCTTTTTTCTTAGGGGACCAAAATGAAATCTTTTTTTTTTTTTTCTCCCTATTAATTTTCTCTCAGTATCATCATCTCTCAGTAAGTTATGTTAATGATCATCAAATCATGAATCTTCTAAAAGAGTATGAGGGCTATGAAATAAAAATGGTTCAATTGATTTTGGCGGAGGGACAGGGGGATCTACAGCCATTTGGTATAGATTCTCATTAGAAATGATTTGTTTACTCATCCATTTCAATAAATTGCTATGCTGCTGAAATTATCACTAAGAGTAGAGTCAGATGAAGGACAAAACTGTCATTCTGGTCAAACTCTGATCATCTCCGGTGTAAACTGGGAATTGTTCTTAATCTGCTCAAATGTCACATTATCCAAGAGAGACTTTCTCTGACCTCCCAATATAAAATTACAGTCAGTATCTCTCCTCCAACACCATTCTCCCCTTTAATTGGTTTTATTTTTCTCCAGAGAAATTGCCACCTAGTAGCATTATGGGACACGATGTATTTGTTTCTTTAGTGCATCTCCCCCAACTAAAATGGAAGCTCTGCTGAAAGCCAGGACTGGGATTTGTTTAGGACTGCATCTTGAAAGTCAAGACAAGGGCCTTAAATATAGTAGTATAGTGGGCAATCAATAAATAATTATTGCATGCATGAAACTTTTTTCTCATTTTTCAGGTGCTTAAAGCACAAAATCAGTGCAAAGCAATAAAATTGTCTCCTTGTCCTGGCATGCATTTTGATGGCTGACAATTTGATGTAAATGGAAGCATTTATCCTGAGCTCGCTGTCCTGCTGAGCCCCAGTGGAAGGGTGTCCTTGGGGAACAAAAGCAGAGGAGTGCTTTGTGTGGCCATGTCTTCATTATAGGACTAAAACTTTGAGTTGTGCAGTGCTATCTGGCATCCACACATAATACAAAGAGTAATACAAAGCAGAGTATCTCAAAGGATGTTCTCCAGAGCACCACTTCTAGGGCATAGAAAGAGGGGTTACTAAAGCGAAAAAGAGCTCTATGGTCAATTAAAGGTTCTGAAACTAGGTATTACATGAAGCTAAGGAAGATTCATAACTTCAGGATATCTCAAATGTATGATAATGTTCATTTGGGCTCTAAAACCCTTGGACTTTTCCTTTCTACTACCAATCTGGTTTCTAAGACCGGGTTCCATCACGAGTAACACCATTGACTTGAGAACTGTAAAAGGTCAGGGCAGGGGCAGGACACATGGGTCTTGGCTCAGTCCCTTACTCACCTTTTTATATGACCATGGGCAACTTAGAGAACACTTCTCTATGCCTCAGTTTTCTCTTCTGTAAAGTAGCAGAAGAAAGGATTACCTGGGATAATGTATATAAATGGTCTGACCCCTAAGTTCTAAATAATGATAGTTATTGTCAACACATTTTACCAAATGTAGCAACAAATACTTTTTAGGTAGATATCCTCAAGTCTATTTCTTAAGACATAAAACCATATATGGGTTTGCTAGGATCCACCCATATCCAGAATCAGCCTGCTATGTCTCCCTCTCTGTCTCAGTACCCTATCCCCCTTTGAGAAAATCTGCACATCGATGGTGAAGTCCAAGAAATGCCATCTTCCAACATGACTTAATACAAATGTCTAATAACTCACCCTGGTGTATCCTGCAGAGCTGATTTCCTGTGTTTTGATGCCCTTGACCTCAGATGAAGATGCTTTTGTCAGGAGGAAGGTGGTAGCATCCAAGTTAATGATTGTGCAGATGGCTACATGCTGGTCCATTTTGAAGTGACCATATTTTTTCAGTAAATTTCAACTGAAGGTGTGATTTGTGTAAATCTGACCCCTTCCAGTAAAATGTGCATTTACATATATTTAGAATTTTTAAATCTTGACAGATTCCACAATATTTATAGCCCTCCATAAAAAGCCTTTGCCAGTTTTCAGAGCTTTGCCTTTGGCTCTCTGGTATGCTTAAGAGAGCTTAAATAATAATAAATTTGGTGATATATTCCACCTGGAACAGAAACTTATTTTCCCCCCTTGGCTTGTTTTGAAGGGGATACTATAAATAGTGCCACAGACGCTGGGATCAGGAATAGGGAATTGAAATTCAAGAAAGAAGTACAGAAACATTTCCATTATCACTGATGCCTTGAATGTATTTTTAAAAGAGTTCTGTTCCTCAAATAATGTACCTTCTCTCCTTTCTCCTACCCCATCTCAATTATACTTAAGTCCCCCAAACCTGTTGCCAGCTTTAAGATTCAGTTGCACTAATGGGGAAAAAAAGAGTGAAAGTATTAGCTGACATAGAAATTGCCTCTAGAGAGGCCAAAGCAATTCTCCAGTGTTCATCTCACATTTCACGGGAGTCAGCTGGTAACTGAGCGTCAAGGTCTAAAGTGTAAATTCATTATTTGAGACCCAGCTCATGCGTCCTGCAGGTATGATGAAAAGCTCTCAGTTCATGAAAAAGAAAAAAAAAAAAAAAGTCTAATTGTAATTACAAGAGAAAGCCTAAGGACAATGTCAGAGGGTCGATTCTTTCACCCATCCGTGCTTATAATTACCCAGTAGAGGATTAGGGAGAAATGCCTGAATAGTTGACTCCAAATGATATCATTTATTTTCTTAAACACAAAATAAACAAGAATCAGGGAGCCAGCTGTTTGCCGTGGAATCATCTGATGAAAACTGAAAGCAGCCATTAAGTGTAGCATAAGTGGTGTTATAACTTGTTGGGATTCAAGATTTATTTCCAGCTTCTTGTTTGAGTGGAGGGTGAAGGAGACAGCCCTTGTCCGGGGGAAGTAATAGTAATGGCTAACATCCCTGGACAGCTGACTCTGGGCCGGCCCAGAGTAACACATTAAGTGGCTGTGGCGCATACTTCTCATTAAGTACTGGATTTTCCTGTCCTCGTAACTTGGAGCATGCCCCTGCCCCAAGTCTTTCCTGTGCAATCCCCTCGCCTCTAGCTAATAGGATGGCAGATGTTTGGACCAAACCCCAGAGCCTGTAGTATACCACATTTTAATGATTTGTGGTGAACAAAGTAAATGCTTTAAGAACAGGCTTTATGAAGCAGGGGCCTAGTTAAGTATGATGGATTTGAGGCAAACCAAGAAGAAGCTGAATGTTGTATGGGGGTATTGTTTCCCAAACAGGGCATAGGTATCTACGGTTCATTGCTAATTCTAAAGGTTTGCTTGAAAAATGACTTTTTAAAGAACTGCGCTCTTGAGGAACGTCCTTGAGGCATGGAGGGATTTCCTTGATTTTCTAAAGCATCTTTCTGAGAGGACGCCGAGGTATTGAGCTGTTAGATAGTTGCTCAGTGTCTTTGTGCTTCTGGGACCACATTATAGGTCTAACACATATGGGATAAATAAACTGTTTTCATTTCTTAAAGCCCATGGAAGGAAACCAGACAAGAAAATTACCATATTGCCTCATTTTTTTTTTTTTCAAGGCTTTTAAAAAGGAGAATCCAGTGAGGGCAAATAAAAATGATTACTGCAAACAGGGTCCCACCCTTTCCTTCCTTGCTAGCCTTTTACTCAGCAGCAGCAATGGCAAGAGTTGTGTCAAACCAGTGTTTTGATGCACCCTCTTCTGTTCTTCTTCCATAGGGCAACCCCTACATGTGCAATAATGAGTGTGATGCAAGTACCCCTGAGCTGGCGCACCCCCCTGAGCTGATGTTTGATTTTGAAGGAAGACATCCCTCCACGTTTTGGCAGTCTGCTACTTGGAAGGAATATCCCAAGCCTCTCCAGGTTAACATCACTCTGTCTTGGAGCAAAACCATTGAGCTCACAGATAACATAGTTATTACCTTTGAATCGGGGCGTCCTGACCAAATGATCCTGGAGAAATCTCTCGATTACGGACGAACATGGCAACCCTACCAGTATTATGCCACAGACTGCTTAGACGCTTTTCACATGGATCCCAAATCTGTGAAGGATTTATCACAGCGTACGGTCTTAGAAATCATTTGCACCGAAGAGTACTCTACGGGATATATGACAAATAGCAAAATAATCCACTTTGAAATCAAAGACAGGTTTGCATTTTTTGCTGGACCATGGCTACGCAATATGGCTTCTCTCTACGGACAGCTGGATACAACCAAGAAACTCAGAGATTTCTTTACAGTCACAGACCTGAGGATAAGGCTTTTGAGACCAGCAGTTGGGGAAATATTTGTAGATGAGTTACACTTGGCACGCTACTTTTATGCGATCTCAGACATAAAGGTGCACGGAAGGTAAGAAAACATCTGTCTGACTGGAATGAGAGTGGTTGTTCAAAGAAACTGCCAGTATGTTGGTCCCACAGCTTAGAGAGACATGATCCATTTTCTACTACAACATTTCCTCAGGAACACAGTCTAGGAGCTAGGTCTGGAGAAATTTGAGACCCTTCTTACTCAGCAGTAATTTGTGATCCCAGACTCACTGTCACTGAACCTGAACCTGGCAGAATTCCTTAGAATTTAAACAGAAGGGGAGGAAAAAAAAATTAGCATCTTATTTGAGTCCAAGGAACTCCCTAGATCAGGGGGTGGTTTAAATCTTTAAGACAGTGAAGCCAGGGGGAACAAAGCCAGCTGCTGTTTAAAAGATACCAAAAAAACAAGAAATACATCTTTCCATTGTTTTCAAATGCCAGATAGGATTTCAACGTGGTATCTCTCGCCGTTTACGTTTCATTGCATTGCACAAAGCACAGTTTCTGAATTGTGAGTTATATCCCTTTAAATTTATTAAATCAGAACCAAAAGCACTTAAGAAGCACAATGCATTTCTTAAAAAGGAGTGAACTCTGCTTTTCGGGGTTTTCATGGTTATTGCCTTAAAAAGATATGCTGCCATTTAAATATGGACCTGAGGGAGACTCCCTTCATTTTTGGGGTCAAATACAGATGGACCAGAGTTTAAAACCATTAGTGGTCACCGTCAGGCATATCTTTGGTTTTGATAATACATCAGAGACACACTTGAGCAAGTTTCCAAGAATTTTGAGGATGCTTTAATGAAAAACTCAGGTAATAAGAACCGGGACCTCTAAGGTAGAGCTGTTCAACCAGATTTCTTAACTGTGGTATGGTTGGTAACCAAATAACCAACTGACAGGAGTTGAAGCATGAAGTAATTTGTTGAGAAAACCAAAAATCAGTGAGGTATACAGCAAAATGGAAAAAAGAGAAAGCAAAGCAATAATCATTCCAAAAATGCTGAGAGAGCTTCAAGTCAGAATAGATGAGTTTAAGAATATAAATGGCCCATAAATCATATAGGTCTCATTAGGCAATCCTAAAATTTAAACAAATACAGCAGGCTCCATTAAGTGAATTGGCATCCAACATTCCTTAAGATAGCCCAATCCTCAGAAACTGGAGAAGTGTTGAGACTCCCTGGTCTTTCTGAGAGTTGACTCAACCTATCTTTTTGATAATAGTATTGTAACTGTACAGTAGAAGGAAGGAGAGGCCACTGATGTTAAGGTGAAAGTCGTAACGGGCACACAGAATGGAGTGGTGGGCATGACCTCAGTGTGGTAGTAGAGGTTTCAGATTCTGAACTGTGGGAAGCAGCAGGAACTAGATGTTCCTCCCGGAAGAGTCAGGAGTCTTTAGCAATGGAGCCTCTTTAAAAACCACTAACTAAGATCTTGGTGACATACGATGAAGATTTCTTGAAAGCAGAATAGTATTTCTGCGAGCAGTAGGCACTGGTACAGCACTGAACTTGTAGGTTGCAGGGTGTAGAGGAAGGCCTACAGATCAGCAGGTCACAACCAGAGGACAATCTGGAACTGGGGCCTGAAATATGAATTGGCTATTTATAGTAAAATGTAGCCATTATACTCCTAAATATTTTTGTAAGTCATCATCAGTTTCCAGTTCTTCTTCTTGGGGACTATGATATATAAAAATAATGGATGTTGATATTGTTAACCATAACATTCTACAACAAAGTAACAAGTATTCAGTTCATCTACAAGAATAAGTGTCAAAATTCATAAGCTGAGGTTTGAATTTAAATCCTAGTGTGATCTTCACTGTTAGATAAAATCATCTAATTCAGTTTTCCTGCAGTTTGAGACATTTATAATCCAAGCCAAAATCCTTAGAGTCCAACTTCTGCAAACATTGTCTCATCTTCCACTGGTAAAGAAGTCAGTTGTGTGAAGCTTTTGGTTGGGAAGTAAACATTGTTGGAGCTTATTTGTGTTACTGCACATTCATTTTTTTTAAAAGATTTTATTTGTTTATTTGACAGACAGAGATCACAAGTAGGCTAAGAGGCAGGCAGAGAGAGAGGAGGAAGCAGGGTCCCCACTGAGCAGGGAGCCAGATGCAATGCAATGCGGGGCTTAATTCCCGGACCCTGGGATCATGACCTGAGCTGAAGACAGAGGCTTTAACCCACTGAGCCACCCAGGTGCCCCTGTACATTCATTTTTCTTTCCTCTGATTATTTAAAAAAGACGGTGTAAATACGCTTTAAAGTGACATTTTTATTAAAGTGAATAAAATTAAATATTAAAGTGAATAAAAATTAAAGTGAATTTTTATGCCTTCTCTATGGGGGTCAAAGATACTATCCCTTAAAAGTGGCATGTTAGGAAAGTAGACTCCCACCAGATTTACCACTTTTCTTTTATCTATGATCCTGCTAGTACCCTCCAACTGCATCTCATGGGCCTGGGGAAGTTGCAGGAGACATTCTCCCTTCTCTGGGACTCACCTCTGCCATCTTTTCCTGTTCACCAGTCAACTCTAAGCTAATGAGGAAGCAGCTGGGCAAGAGGGAAAGGTCCAGTAGAGGTGAGCTCCTTCCATAAGGGCCCCCTCAATCACCTCTAAACTCTGTCCAAATTCCTCAGGGCAAAACTGATGCTGGCGTGTACCATGCTAGGCACCAGATGGCTGGGGTATTTTTATCTTAGGGGTGAGACTACGGAAGCAAGGCCTGACGGCTCAGGCGTGTCTCCAGCTTTTAAGTTATATAAGGGAAATGGAGGCAGTAAAGAGAGCGGTTGAGCCACCCCTGGTGCATGAGCCTTTCAGTACAGTCTGTACATTTTACCCTTGAAAACTTCAGTAGGATTAGTGGTCTAGGTCGTCTGTTTCATAGGTAGCAAATCATCTGTAGAAAGATTGAATATTAATTGATGATACCCAAAGGAAAGTTCTAAGGGTTCCTTTTCAAAGACGTCATCAATAGAAACTTTCCAAAATATAACAGGCCTTTGTCTCCCTCAGCCCTCTCTCTACCATCCCTGAAATGACTGCCGCACTTAACACACCATTACGTGAATATATCTGATCATTAGAAGGATATTTTTGACTTCTTACTCTACTACTACCCACACTGTAATGTGGGAATTGGTGTGAATTATTTGGGGAAAGTGGGCAGATATCCATAAGAGATACAATACAAGCAATACAAGATTTTTCAGCTATGAAACAAACACAGGTAGAGAATCTTTGAATTGACAATTAATTCCAATTCTCAGCTTCTCATGCACGTGTGCACATGGCTTTTGTGTTTCATACTGGTTACTATTTGGTGTAAAAGTAATATTTTGATTGTTATTAGAAGAATGTAGCATTTATGTTCCTTTTAGCATGCCACACATCACATACCTATTTACTGGTGACAAAAACTATAATCCCATCATAAAAATTTTATGCCTCTTTGGCTGCATACTTATTTTGCTTCCATTTACTCCCTCTCATTGTGTATTTATTAAGATAATGGAGGGAAAAGAGGAAACATGGCTGTTGGCAATCTCAGCGACTCCATAGTACTTACATTGTTCAATAAACCTAATAATCTTCATGAACTAATTCTGACTTATGGTTGTCCTACTTCAGTAAATCAGGGTGATTTTCTCTAGTGAATAATAGACAAGTGCAGTGTGCCAGTACCTTAATTAAAGAGTGGCTCTCTTAGTCTTGATCTCATTTTAATTTACAGGGTAATACTACAATAATATCACTAATGGAAGGTACATTAAAGGGCATCAAGTAGCATTAACTGTATTAAATTATGGTACTTGTGTTAATTAACTGTTGAAGCAAGATGGTTCTAATGGCCAAAAAGGTCGTCTAATGCATAAATAAAATCTACCCAGATGAGAGGTGAGAGGAGAAATGAAGAGTAGATATTTGTTCTGAACATCTTTTTATACAGACAGGGAGTTCAATTCATAGGCTGTTAAACATAGTTAATGTCCAAAATGTTTTCTTAGTCACACAATTAGAAATTTTGATTTTTAAATATTTTGTTTCCTTCTAAGCTTTCCATAATTAAATTAGTTGAAAAGTTGAACACTATCTTTGTCAGATGCATAGGTTTTGTAGTCTATTAACTCAGCATTATTTATTGTTTCTTTGAGATGAACAGTTTCAAGGAAGCAATGTGATTTATTATAATAATTGTTAAATCTGAAAGACAAACGAACATTTGACAATGCGCTCATTTATCTGTAATATGTGCTACCAGCAATGTATCAGGCTACTGATTTCAGACATAAGATAATAGAAAATCTTTTTCAACCTCAAAAACTTTAGGATGGAATTGTCAGAACTTTTCTCAGTGACCTAGAAAACTCTAATCCACATCTCCATTACTTGCCTCATTACACAATATTTCTGAACATAATTATCAATAATTTTTTTCATAATTTTTATCATAATTTTTTTCTCTGTGGTGTTTATTCATTTCTTACCCCTTGCTGTGCCAGCCCAAACACCTCACAGGTAGTTAGCTATTAGCCCAAGCACCTCACAGGTAGTTAGCTGTCCCTTCCTGTTTACAGAATTGATTTTGTCTTCTGTGCCCCATTGTTTATCTCCAAGATAAACAAGATAAACGGGGACTGATGCTGGCTTAGATAGTGGGTATATAGAGATGCACAAGGCATAGTCAACGCTCTCAAGGAGCTGAAACCAGAATGGGCACAGACATGGGGGCGGGGGAAGCAACTTGGGTCCAGTGCTTTTGCCACGTGAATGTGATGACAGGGAAGGCTCTACTAATATAATCTGCAAAACCTAGGAAAAGCTTTGATGAGGATGTCACACTTGCATGGCAACTTGAAATCAGTGCTGTGGAATGCCGAGTAGCCAGGGTGGAATGGCTGTTCTGGGTGACCAGTTATGCTTAAGAACAGCACAGCCTGTTAAGGAAATCCAGATAGTTGGGAACTGGCCTGAGTGGACAAATCCTGGGGAAGCCCTTCTATCTTCTCTCT